CCCCCTTTGTTTTGACTGATCAGGAGAGGCTTGGGAGAAGCGGGCAGGTGGCCGTTGCCCAGTTTTTAAAAAACTCTGCACATTTATGTTTCACAGGGTGCGAAAGAATGGCTTTGCACCTTGCCTGGCAGAGAAACCGTATACCTTGCTCCCCTCCTGGGCAATGGCCACCCACCCACGACTCCCAAGCGTCACGCAATCTGTCAAAATAAAAGGGGGAAGGGGGCAAGAGATCTGTACCGCTGGACGTCCCCGGTTCCCCCTCGGCAGTGGCGGCAGCAGTGAGTAGCTCCTGAAGCCAGCCAGAGCCAACTGCGCTACCAGACCGGCTCCGGGCTGCTGAGGCTGCCGCTGCCACATTTCCCGGGGACAGATTTGCAAATCTGGGGACATTCTAGGGACGGGATTTGTCCGGGGACAGATTTGCAAATACGGGAACTGGGGACGTCTGGTAACCCTACAGTAATAATAATAATAATAATTTATTATTTGTACCCCGCCCATCTGGCTGGGTTTCCCCAGCCACTCTGGGCGGCTTCCATAGAAACCAAAAATACAGTGGTGCCTCGCAAGACGAAATTAATTCGTTCCGCGAGTTTTGCCGTCTTGCGATTTTTTTCGTCTTGCGAAGCACGGTGTCGGAAAAGTTTTGGAAAAGCTTCAAAAATCACCAAAGTCTTCAAAAACCTCAAAAAAGGCTACCACACCGCGTGCTATGAGTTGCTCCTCGAAGTCAAGTCACAACTGTATTAATGGTGTTAAGAAAAAGGAAACAAACTTGCAAGACGTTTCCGTCTTGCGAAGCAAGCCCATAGGGAAAATCGTCTTGCGAAGCAGCTCAAAAAACAAAAACCCCTTTCGTTTGGCGAGTTTTCCGTCTTGCGAGGCATTCGTCTTGCGAGGTACCACTGTACAGTAAAATATCACAGATTAAAAACTTCCCTGATCAGGGCTGCCTTAAGATGTCTTCTAAATGTCAGGTAGTTATTTATCGCTTTGACATCTGATGGGAGGGTGTTCCACAGGGCAGGCGCCACTACCGAGAAGGCCCTCTGCCTGGTTCCCTGTAGCTTTGCTTCTCGCAATGAGGGAACAGCCAGAAGGCCCTCTGAATAAAAGCTAGTTAGAATGCAGGCCCACAATCACAAAGGAGCCACAATTCCACATGGCTGTGGCAAGCATTTAAATTTTCTCAGTAGCATTGGACTTAAAAAAAAAATCCATCCAAGATCTTGGGACCTTGACAATTCAATGTTCTTCATCATACACTGCTCTCCTCTTGAATTTCTGCCATCTTGGACGGCAGGCAGAAGCAGGTCCCTGTCTCCATACGGCTTTGTATCTGTAACTTGAATCAGACGGAGAATGTATATTATGCATTAAAAATGTCCCTTATATGATGGGCCAAAGGAAAAAAAACCAGGGAAACGTTTTGTCTAGATTAACATTTTGTTCTGATCAAGAAGTCATCTGTTTTTTGTTAAAGGCATTTTGTCCTTTTGCGACCTATAATGCATCAGTTTAACAGCAAGGAAACTTACTGTGAAAGAAACAGAAAAGATCGGGGCAGAAACTGCTGCAGACATCTAAAAGGCAGTGCTTTTTTCTGGTGGTACTCACTGGTACGCAGTAACAGCACCTTTCTTTCTAGGAAAAAAAGCACTGATCACAGGTATTTTTAAGCTTCGTTTAATTTGGGATTCTATGGTACTGGGAAATAAGCAAATTATTTTAACTTAATTATTTCACTGCAACTTGTATAACTAGAATTTTTATACTGGAAATGTTACATTGAAACTTTCATCGAAAATTGCGAAGGCTTTCAAGGGCTATTAAAATAAAGCTGATGGCAATAACATTGATCATAGATTGGGCTGGTTTCTTCAACCTTCTGCATCAGTTTCATTAGTTACATTGGTGAACCCACATAAGATGGGTATTATAGATGTTCAGATACGAGGAGAAACTGAAACTAGAGGACAACCGCACCCCTGGCAGTTTCCTTCTCAGGTCATTCCCAGATTTTCTTCAAAACACTCTGTAAGAAAACATAAGGCCTTGAGTGGGAAATCTGGTACCAGGGCAAGGTCTGAAGACGCAGCTCAGTAGGTCTGGGCAGGTCCATGTCTGTGAAGGAGCCAAGATGGGATATAGATAGATGAACCTGGGCTTGGTGAACCAAAGGTCTAAGCCATGGGTAGGCAAACTAAGGCCCAGGGGCCGGATCTGGCCCAACTGCCTTCTCAATCCGGCTGGCGTACAGTCTGGGAATCACTGTGTTTCTACATGAGTAGAATGTGTCCTTTTATTTAAAATGCATCTCTGGGTTATTTGTGGGGCATAGGAATTCATTCATTTTTTCCCTTCAAAATATAGTCCGACCCCCCACAAGGTCTGAGGGGCAGTGGACTGGCCCCCTGCTGAAAATGTTTGCTGACTCCTGGTCTCAGCCCACTACTTGCGTTTAGCACATTTTCAATTAACATCTCTGTGTGGTCGTGTGTGTTCCCCGCAATGCTTTGCATGGGGACAGAATCTTAGAATCAAGGAATTGTAGAGTTGGAAGGAACCCAAAAAGTAATCTAGTCCAACCCCCTGCAAAGCAGGAATCATAGCTAAAGAACCCACGATGGATGGCCACCCAACCTTTGCTTGAAAACCTCCACCAAAGGAGAGGCCGCCATTTTCTGAGGGAGTCCTTCCCACTGTCAAACAGCTGACATCTTGACAGTGTGCATTTCAGAGATGACCAAGGGGTCGGTCAGACTTCCTTCCAGGGAGAAACCTGCTCTTTAGCAGTCGATTGGAACAAATGGCAATCAGGGAAAACCAGAATTGCTGTTTATTCTGACAGAGTCAGAAGCGTCGGGAGATGAGGAAGTCTGGATAAACCCAAAGTGGTAAAACACAAATTTCCTCTGGGAAAGCAGCGGGACAACAACAACAACATGTTATTCCACCACATGGATAAGCTATGTTAATTACTTCCCCCGGCTTATTTTGTGGGCTCGGTATATTGCGAGGAGAAAGTTAAATCCAGAAGAGGTAAAACACAGAAGAGGTAAAATACTCCAGGGGAAGATGGGTGCAGAAGCTGTCGCTGGCCAGATGTTGGTGGCCATCCCTGCTTCCTGTGTGAACATGTTCCATCATTTGTAAGAGCCTGCTGGATTAAGCCATCTAGGACAGCATCCAGTTCTCACAGGAGCCAACCAGATGCCTGTGGGAAACCAGGAAGCAGGATTCAAGCACGAGAACAGCCCTCGCCCCTCCTGTGGTTTCCCACAACTGGTATTCAGAAGCATTGCTGCCTGTATCCATAGAGGCAGAGCATAAGCTAACAGCCAATACTGTCAATAGCCCTCTCTTCCACGAGTGTGTCTAATTTTCTTTTAAAGCCATTTAACTGGGCTGTCTGTGCTCAAAGCGTGCCTGGGTGTGTGTGTGTGAAATATACTCAGAGTCGAGAGTGGATTTCATGCTCTTTATTCAGCTCATAGTGGTGAGGAGGAATGGAAGTTCCCCCAGAACGTCTGCTTTATATACGTTATATACACAATGGGCCGCACGTGATTGGCTAATTCCAGGATTCTCCTGTAGGCCAATCAGGTTGCGGATTCCCTTCCACCTGGAGCTGGATTGGGTGGCTCCTGTGGACCAATCAGACTGCTGCATTCTGAATCCTATTGTTCTAGGACCAATCAGACTGCTGCCTTTTGGATCCTATTCAACTCACTACGTAACGGGGGGGACAGACATTACAGGAAGTACAAGCCGCAAAAAGGACAAGGGCCAGGGGTCAGCAAACTTTTTCAGCAGGGGGCCGGTCCACTGTCCCTCAGACCTTGTGGGGGCCGGACTATATTTAGAAAAAAAGTATGAATGAATTCCTGTGCCCCACAAATAACCCAGAGATGCATTTTAAATAAAAGCACACATTCTACTCATGTAAAAACATGCTGATTCCCAGACCGTCTGCGGGCTGGATTTAGAAAGCAATTGGGCCAGATCCGGCCCCGGGGCCTTAGGTTGCCTACCCACGGAATAGGCCCTCTTCATTCCTCCCCCTCCCTGTCAACTCTGAAAGTCTGGCTGACTTGGAGGAGAGCAGGTGTTCATGGTTAACAATTAATCACTAATTCTTAACCAAGCCAACCTGTGGTGCTGTTGTTCATCATGTGTTCATTAATGCAGAAAACTTCCAGCCCGCCCTTCTGAGGCAAGTGTGGTCTGCAAGAATCCCATAAAAAGAAAACCAACGCGAGAGCAAAAAATAATGGAAACAAACGTGGCAGATAAAAACATTTCAGAATGAGGATCTGCCAGTCAAAAACCGTCAATAGTTAATTAATAGCCACCATGTGCTGCTATTTATTCACGTCCATCATTTGCAGCTATTCATTCTCATTAATGCATCCTGGTGTCTCCTGTAGCGGGTTGGTCAGTCTTGGCTCCCAAGAGTACTCTGAGCCAACTGTTGGGTGTGCAGGGGGGGGTATATGGTATATGTCCTCCCTTCATTAAAAAAACAATTAAACATTAATATAATTATATGTGTTTGTGTGTGTAAACTTGGAAGGCAGGAAAACTAATATCAGTGTACTGGAAGAAGCAAAGCTTACCAGTGTTGATTCTTCAACATCAACTTCGTTGGACTGGTCATGTTGTGCGGATGCCTGATGATCGTCTTCCAAAGCAACTACAGTCATACCTTGGGTTGAATATGCTTCATGTTGAGCGCGTTCGAGTTGAGCTTCGTGGCAACCTGGAAGTAATGGAGTGAGTTACTTCCGGGTTTTGCCGCTTGCGCATGCGCAGATGCTCAAAATGACGTCACGCGCATGTGCAGAAGTGGCGAAAAGCGACACGCGTGTGTGCAGACGTGCCATCGCTAGTTACATTTGCTTCTGGATGTGAACGGGGCTCCGGAACGGATTCCCATTTGCATCCCAAGGTACCACTGGACTCTATTCTCAACTTAAAAATGGAAAATGTAATGCTGGTGGTCAACAAAAGAGGTTTAAAGACTGTCTCAAGGCAAATCTAAAAAAATGTAGTATAAACACTGACAACTGGGAAATACTAGCCTGTGAGCGCTCCAGTTGGAGAACAGCCTTTACCAATGGTGTCATGGGCTTTGAAGACACTCAAACTCAGGACGCAAGGCAGAAATGTGCTAGGAGGAAGGCACGCTTGGCAAATCCACACCGTGATCAACTCCTGCCCGGAAACCAATGTCCCCACTGTGGAAGGACGTGTGGATCCAGAATTGGCCTCCACAGTCACTTACGGACTCATTGTTAAAACCGTGTTTATGGAAGACAATCTTACTTGGTTACGAGGGATCGCCAAATAAGAAGAAGAATTAAAAACATACAAATAATTACAATAAAAACAGCACAGCACCAGCCCTTTCATTTAATGCAGTTGCTTCCCAAAGTTGTTGGAAAAAGCAAGTCTTCATTTGCTGGTGGAAGGACAGCAAGGAGGGGGCCAGTCTGGCTTCTCTAGGGAGGGAGTTCCAAGTATGGAGCAGCCACTGAGAAGGCCCTTTCCCGTGTCCCCATCAAGTGTGCCTGGGAGATTGGCAGGACCGAGAAAATGGACTCTCCTGAAGACTTCAAAACCTGGGCAGGTTCATATGAAGGATCTTTATGGAGCCTGGAGCTGTCATCCTGAACGGTTTGCAGATGGCTGTTTGTGGAGCATTCATTCTGGTTTACAAGAGGGGAGGTCTTTAAAAATAAAAATAAAATTATTGATACAGCAAGGAAAAAAGAAAGAAAAAACACAAATACCAAATACACACAGGAATAACCATAGACACATAATTTTCTTAACAAACAATAAAACATAAATTGGTCTTAACACTAAAGACCCAACCTCCCGTCTATTCCATATTTTGATTTCATATTACTTATTGCCAATACACACTCCTTATCATAATTACCGTATTTTTCGCCCCATAGGGCGCACCGGCCCACAGGGCGCACCTATTTTTTTTGGGGGGGGGAAATAAAAAAAAAAAATTATTTACCCCCCACGACCCCAGCCCCCAGAACAGGCTGCTATCCGCAAGCCTAGGGAGCCCGGCAGGAAGTCCACAAGCCTTGGGAGAGCTGTGCGACTTCCCATCGGGCTCAGTGCGCCCCAGGCTTCGGGATGCAGGCAGCTCTCCGCAAGCCATGGGAGAGCTGCGCGACTTCACGCCGGGCTCCCACGGCTTGCGGATAGCTTCCTGAAGCCTGGAGAGCAGAGGGGTCGGTGCGCACTGACCCCTCTCACTCTCCAGGCTTCAGCGCAAGCCTGCATTCGCCCCATAGGACGCACACACATTTTCCCTTCATTTTTGGAGGGGAAAAAGTGCGTCCTATAGAGCGAAAAGTAAACTTTTTCTTAATATATCTAATTTCTTATATCTACCTAGGGCTTGCCTACCAGAAGGTTGGCGGTTCGAATCCCAGCGACGGGGTGAGCTCCCATTGTTCGGTCCCTGCTCCTGCTCACCTAGCAGTTTGAAAGCATGTCAAAGTCCAAGTAGATAAATAGGTACTGCTCCAGCGGGAAGGTAAATAGCGTTTCCGTGCGCTGCTCTGGTTCACCAGAAGCGGCTTAGTCATGCTGGTCACATGACCCAGAAGCTGTCTGCGGACAAACGCCGGCTCCCTTGGCTTATAGAGCGAGATGAGCGTGCAACCTCAGAGTCGTCTGCGACTGGACCTAATGGTCAGGGGTACCTTTACCTTGCAACCATTACTGAAGTTCCTCAAATGCTGCAAGAGGGGAGGTCTTATTGCGCTGTGTCAAGCAATTGTCCAGCGCATTTTCCCACCGCTTCCTTTCTTAGAAAAAGCGTGGGGTTCTTTTTTTTGGGGGGGGAGGGGAGCAGTTTTGCTGTGCAAAAGCACCAGATCCACTTTGTGCATCAGTTTGCTGCTATTAATGTCGCTGAATGCAAAAGAGCAGTAGCCTGGAAGGGCCCCAGGATGCTAAGTGTTGCTGAGACACCCCTGGAGGCTATGAGGCAGAGGCAACCGGGGCTGGCAGAAGAGCAAACAGGAGCCTGCAAATGAAACGTCCCTCAGAGAGGCGCTGCTTGTCATCAGGTGAGGAACCTAACCTGATTAGAGAGTTCCCACTCGGATTGTGTTACACTGAGCCTAATGCATTTCAGAGCTTGGCTCATCAAAACAGAGACTTAGCCCAGCTCCGCGTCTAGAGGCTGCTGTTTGGCAGGAGCCGCTCAGCTGGGGAACAAATGTGTATGTGAGAGTGAGAGAGCAAAGCCCAGGGCTTCGATCAGATTGTGGGGAGAGTCAGGGCTGCTGTCGCTGCTGCACTTGAATGAGACCCACCTCCTCCATCGAAATGGCAGAAAACGATTCCAGGCAGGGAGGAGGAGGAGGAGGACAGGGGTTGAGAGCATTAGAACATACTGGTAACAGAGAAATCCGGGGGCTCCCTTGGACAAAAAAACAAGGACACCAGCCAGGAATACCAGAGCAAAACAGCAGCCAGTAGGCTTGGTCTTCATTGAAGACTGTCGCGACAGGACTCCCACCTGCCACCAGGTGAAACAAAATGGAAGCCCAGAACAAAAGAAGACCCCCAACTTTTATTTGTTACTAATCCCCCAAGCTATACCCCTAGAACTACATCATGACTACATCATTGACACATCACCAAAAGGAGGGGTTGAGGGAGGGGTTGTGGAAGTAACCTGAGTATCTTGTCACCTGTCTGGTTCCCCCTTTCCCCCTCCCCATGAGTACTTTCCAGGTGACAAAGGGGAGTTTGCAGTTTCCTGCCCCCAGAGGGAAGATCCGATCATTGTCCTTTGTTCCAGTCCATGTTGAATCCACTCCCATATGCAAGTCCTTTGTGACCTTGATGGTCTTCTGTCTAGGACCATCAGGGTTGGCATAGCAACTGGGCAGGGCTCCTGTGTATGTGCTGGTATGCTCAAGGGATTATGGCTGCCCTGTACCAAACCTTCCCCATTTTGTAGTCCTTCCTTCATGGAGTAAAATAAAAGTGGAACGGTGCAGATCCGATGTGTGGTTGATTTTCTATGAATTTATAACAGAAGCGTAGCGTATGGTGTGTGTGTGTGTGTGTGTGTGTGTGTGTGTGTGTGAAGTTTGTACAAACTGAATGATTTGGGGGGGGGGGTTCCTGCGACAAGAGCCACCTCCTCCATCAAAATGGCAGAAAACGATTCCAGTCAGGGAGAAGGAGGAGGACAGGGCATGAGAGCATTAGAACATGCAAAGAGCCTGTTGGATCAGGCCAATGGTCCATCTGGGGGAGCATCTTGTTCTCATGGTTGCCAACCAGATGCCTGTGGGAAACTCTCAGCTCAAGCACAAAAGCAACACTCTCCCCTCCTGCAGTTTCAGGCAACTAGAATTGAGGAGCATTGCTGTCGCAGACCTTGGAGGCAGAGCAAAGTCATTCTGGCTGGTAGTCATCAACAGCCCTCGATGAATCTATCCAGTCCTCTTTTAAAGCCATCCAGATTTGTGAGCATCACTGCCTCCTGTGGCGGCGAGTTCCATAGTTCGCTATGTTCTGTTTTGCAGATGGAGGGGGAAGAACAACAACAGGTGCTTCATAACCTTTAAACTTTGGTTGGTTAAGTTTCCTCTTCTATTTTTCATTGTTTTGGAAACAATACAGTTGGGTTTGCAAGTGAATGGTAAGCCAAACAACCATTTAGAGGGAAATAAAGGTAAAGGGAACCCTGGCAATTAAGTCCAGTCGCAAACGACGCTGGGGTTGTGGCGCTCATCTCGCTTTAAAGGCCGAGGGAGCTGGCGTTTGTCCGCTTCCGCAGACAGTTTTTCCTGGTCATGTGGCCAGCATGACTAAGCCGCTTCTGGCGAAACCAGAGCAGCGCACAGAAATGCTGTTTACCTTCCCGCCAGAGTGGTACCTATTTATCTACTTGGACTTTGACATGCTTTCGAACTGCTAGGTTGGCAGGAGCTGGGACCGAGCAACGGGAGCTCACCCCGTCGTGGGGATTTGAACCACCGACCTTCCGATTGGCAAGCCCTAGGCTCTGTTGTTTAACCCACAGTGCCACCCGTGCTGTGGAAATACAGGGAAATACAGGGTCCCAAACCACCTCAAAATTGTCAGTTGAGGGTGTGTCAAGGCCCTGCCTGGAAATCTTGGAGAGATATTGCCTTAGCACTTCTTTCAAACTTTGTTGTCATTGTTATTTAGTTGTGTCTGACTCTTTGTGACCCCCTGGACCAGAGCACGCCAGGCAGTCCTGTCTTCCACTGCCTCCCGCAGTTTCGTCAAACTCATGCTGGTAGCTTCGAGAACACTGTCCAACCATCTCGTCCTCTGTCGTCCCCTTCTCCTTGTGCCCTTCATCTTTCCCAACATCAGGGTCTTTTCCAGGGAGTCTTCTCTTCCCATGAGGTGGCCAAATTATTGGAGCCTCAGCTTCAGGATCTGTCCTTCCAGTGAGCATTTAGGGCTGATTTCCTTAAGAATGGAGAGGTTTGATCTTCTTGCAGTCCATGGGACTCTCAAGAGTCTCCTCCAGCACCATAATTCAAAAGCATCAATTCTTTGGCGATCAGCCTTCTTTATGGTCCAGCTCTCACTTCCATACATCACAACTGGGAAAACCATGTCTTTAACTATACGGACCTTTGTCGGAAAGGTGATGTCTCTGCTTTTTAAGATGCTGCTTTCAAACTTAGCTAACCCCAATGGCAGAGGAGGAGGAGGACATAACGAGTTACTCTGGCATATGAATGAAGGGAAGGGTGGCAATGATGGGTGTTAACCCTCAATCTAAGAAGACCAGAGGTTATAGAAGCATATAATTGTAGAGTTGGAAGGGACCCCAGGGGTTCTAGGCCAACCCACTGCAATGCAGGAATATGCAGCTGGCCCTTATAGGGATCGAACCCGCAACCTTGCGTTGTCAGCACCACGCTCCAACTGAGCTAACCGGGCTTGCCAGTCATCTAGTTCAGGCATCCCCAAACTCAGCCCACCAGATGTTTTGGGTCTACAATTCCCATCATCCCTGACCACTGGTCCTGTTAGCTAGGGATGATGGGAGCTGTAGTCCCAAAACATCTGGAGGGCCGAGTTTGGGGGTGCCTGATCTAGTCCAACCCCGTGAAATGCAGGAATCACAGCTAAAGGATCCCCCAAAGTTGGCCACCCAACCTATGTTAAAAAGGAGAGTCCACCACCTCCCGAGGAAGTCCATTCTTCCTAATGTTTCGTCGGAAACTCCTCTCCTGTAATTTGAATCCATTGGTTCAGATCCTCTCCTTCAGGTGACTGTCAGGAGTGTGTGCAGGAGCTGGGCCCTTTGAACAGTAAGGCTTTACAGGACTGGGGCCTTCCTAAGTTTGTTCTGGAGAAGCAAGGTGCAGCCGCACAGGTGAGGCCGCTTGGTAACTCACTGCACCTGGTGGCAAGAGTCGGGAAGGGATATAAGGTCAGCATTTCCCTTTGGCTCTTTGCCACAGCAACACGTTCCCTGCCTTGCTGCGTTTGGCTTCTTGTTTCCTGATCCTTGGACCCTTGACTTTGTGACTCCCTGCTTCCTGACCCTCGGACCCCTGGCTTCTGGACTCTCGTTCCTGCTCCCACCCCGCCATCTTGCCCCCGCTCCCGACGTCCTCAGCCAGGACTTCGATCGCCCGTAGACCGGACCGTGACAGTGACAGCCCTTCAGATATTCGAAGATGACTCTCATATCATCTCTCCAGACTAAGCCTAACCAACTCCCTCAAGCATGATTCCTCATGAGGCTTGGTTTCCAGCCCCCTCGATCACCTTTAAACCATTGGTGGTCCCAGGAGAGGAAGGGATGGAGTGCTTTGATTTGCCCCTGGGAGCCAACCTATGGGGCAGTGGTTTGCAAACAAGGGACCTCTGAGTGTGAACCGGTGGGTTTCATTCTGCCTTTGCACGGCCACTGCTCTTTCCCACTCAGAGGCTCCGGCCCCCCCGCCCCCCCTTCTTGGCTGTCTCCTCAGATTAGGCAGCTACTCTGTTACCACATGCTCTCTCTGGGCGGGCGCCGAGTCCCGGGTGCCGCCACGGTGCAGCTCCAAACCGCATTAGTGGCTGGAGGAGGAGGCGGTAATGACATTACCCAGGAGGTATTAGAGGTGCTAAATGACAATCCCCATCCCTGATGCTGGGATTTATGTCAGTCAAACTGACAGGGCGAGGCAATACAGAGGCCTCCACTCGCAGAATTGCATAATTGGGGAGGCCTGCTTTTCTTCTCGCTCTGCCTCCCTGACACTCAGGTTTGTCTGCTGTTGCAGAGGGGGGAGGAAGAACTCCTAGCAGTACAAAGAACTTGATGGGTGCTGCAGTCGCAGGTGGAAAAACAGGGCAAAAGCACTGCAGCCCTAAGGACCTAACAAGAGCCTGCTGGATCAGGCCAAAGGGACCCCATCGAGTCCAGCAGCCTGTTCTCGCAGCTGCCAACCTGATGCCTGTGGGAAACCAGCAAGCAGGATTTGAGCACAAGAGCCCTCCTGTGGTTTTGTGCTGGTCCTGTGGGTTACCCGAGAGGCGAGGGCCAAGTCTGATCCATGGTCAAAGGTGCAACGTGGAGGCAGTCCGTAGTAGCTGAAGCTGGGTGCAGGGCAGGGAGCCAGGGCGGGTCAGGCAGGAAAGCAGGACAGGGTTCAGGCAGGAACTAGGTAAAGGTAAAGGGGCCCCTGACCATTAGGTCCAGTCGTGGTCGACTCTGGGGTTGCGGCGCTCATCTCGCTTTATTGGCTGAGGGAGCCGGCGTACAGCTTCCGGGTCATGTGGCCAGCCACTTCTGGCGAAATCAGAGCAGTGCACGGAAACGCCGTTTACCTTCCCGCCGGAGCGCTACCTATTTATCTACTTTGATGTGCTTTTGAACTGCTAGGTGGGCAGGAGAAGGGACCGAGCTACGGGAGCTCACCCCGTTACGGGGATTCGAACTGTCAACCTTCTGATCGGCAAGCCCTAGGCTCTGTGGTTTAACCCACAGCGCCACCCGCATCCTAGTAGCATGATCCAAAATCAAGGTGCACCTGTGAATGGCCAAGGCGCGGCTCGCTGACAGCAGTGAGCCTCCTGGCCAGTGAGCCTCCCTTGCCAAGCAACAATCGGGATTTTTTTTAAAGAAATGGTTTAACGACTGTGAAATATACTCAGAGTCGCAAAGTGATTTCATGCTCTTTATTCAGCTCATAGTGGTGAGGAGGAATGAATGAATGTCCCCTCAAAGTATCTGCTTTATATACATTATTTACACAATGGGCTGCACATGATTGGTTAATTCTGGAATTCTACTGTAAGCCAATCAGGTTGTGGATTCACTTATATCTGGAGCATGATTGGGTGGTTCCTGCCAACCAATCATACTGCTGCATTGTTCTTGGACCAATCAGACTGCTGCATTCTGAATCCTATTGTTCTAGGACCAATCAGACTGCTGCAGTTTGGATCCTATTCAACTCAGTACATAACAGACTGCCTCTTTCAGCGGGTCTGGGGAAGGGTCCCTCACAGAGCCCATTGCCCAGCTCTTCCTGGCTCGCTTTTATTAGCCAGGATGGGCTAGGATCAAGGAGACAGGTGGTTGGTTTCACTCGTCCTAGCAGCCTGTCCACATCCTTGGAGGTAGCAGATTGGAACTGATCCCACGCAACTTGACTAGACAGGACTCTAGCACTCTCTCGCCTCGGCGCTGCTCCCATGGTGGAGTCTACCTCTTTCCGAATCTGAGCGACTATCTGCAAAAAACTTTGCAAAATCATTGCAGGAGGTCCTGGGGGCCTTACCAGGCCCCGATGGTGCAGGTGGTTCCGTTAAATTGCAAACCACCTGAAAGAGTCTCCTGCTGCTGTTTTCTGTGCAAATAGAGGTGGTGAAGAATGTCCTCTTCGCCGTCGCTATCGCCACTTGCTAATTTGATCCCAAAATGTTGGAGGATATGGTAGGATA